TCTGCAGGATGGCATTATTACGTGGTGTAACCTGATCCCCAAATGGCATGTCTTTATCTTATGCTTAGGACTGAAAACAAGTTGGTAGCTAGCCTACACTCATGGAAAGAGCTTGCACAGAAGCGCAGGGCTAGAAAATGTTTAGGCTCATTTGTTGAGTCTCTTCTCCATACTACTTCTCTTCTTTTTGACTTTTATAGTTTTGACAATTCTCTGGAATTGATTGGATCAGAGCAGTTGTCTTAGGGGCAAGTCAGAATGGCACCTTGATTGGAAGACAGTCAGGCTCATCGCTGGCTGGCCTGACCCACCCTCTTGATGCAGGACGAGGAGCCAGACCACAGAGAGAATAGTATGGGCTTGCTTCTTGCCTGTTTTCTACCTGGAGACCAGAAGCCCAGAGGAGGGTCTGCAAGATGGCAGGAGCCCCTGGAATAGGCAGTCTGAGACCTAGGAGACCTCAGGCACTTCCGCCACATCCTTCTCTCTAGGACACAGCTGCAGAAGTTGGCCAGCCCTCCTGGGGAGACTGAGTTGGCATAAACAGACAAGGGAAGCTTTGCTGCAGGGTGAAGAAGGGAGAAGAGAGGTAAGCTTCTCCCTGACCCATATTCTAAAGAAGATTTTACACCTTGCTTTTGTCACTAGATCATATAGAAGGGGATTTTCAACAAGTTCATGGAAAACATGTATTATGAAAACAACTGTGCATGGATTTCAGCATTTATTTACACAGAAATAAGCTTGTACTATAATTCCATTTTCCATAACATTTTGGACATCTGTCAAAACACAGGGATTCAATTCATCCTTTTTTCTTTGTTGCCAAAAGATATATGCACTCACCAAACAGAGAGGGAGAGAGCAAGAACCCCTCGGTTACACCACATTCCTTTTCCTCCATTTCTCCACCCCATCAGGATTTGGGGCACACGGGTACACATGCCTGGAATGTTTTTCAAGGTACTAGCACTGGGACTTGAACCATTGAGGCCCATGTCAGACCTGATTCCCAGTGCACAGCACCCAACCACTGCACTACTGGGTCAGCCCCAATTCATCTCTTTTCGCATCTGCTTTAGTATTCTGCTGTGTGGGTGGCCTACGCCCAGCAGTGCTAGAGGGCCCTCAGAGCGGGCCCCGTTGTGCTATGTCATCGGGGAAGTGTGCAGTCTAAATATATGACTTCCGAAATTAGTCTTTCCGAATTTGGAGCTCGTGTATCCCCTGATGAATCTCTTCCCAAATAGGGCCTCTGAGGCCCTTCATTAACAAGCGTGGCTTCCACAGTGTCCTCCAGGGGATCCTGGTGCCTCAGAAGGCAGCTCAGCCAAGCATCTGCCACTCTTCCAGGGCTGGGGAGCAATCGATCTGCATATGGAAATCCTGGGGTGGGAAACTCTGGGCATCTCCTGCATCAGCTCACCTCCCACCAAACCCCCAGGCAGCTTCACCTTTTGCCCCTGCACTGGCTGCTGTTGGGGGTTCCGCTTACTTGACCAGGTACACAGGAATCAGTGCGGTCTGTGTCATGCACGCACCTCCAGGAAGGTCTGTGGGTAGTATTTCATGCCCCCTGGCTTTATTCAGGTTTTAATAAGTAACCCCTTTTCCTCTACAAAACCTGACATCATATAGTGCGACTCGTGTGTGCTGCGGTTACCTCTTGTGGCTCCCCTACTTACAGAAAGTGGTTTTAGTTTTAGCTTACTTAGGAGTAAGTACATGTAATCTACTGGGTTTATATTGTGCATCAGGGTCTGTGTTAGGTGTCTGTCAGAGAATGGTCCTTGAGACTTTACAACTGACCGCTCTGTGAGACGTGTCTGTTATCCCTGCTTTACAGAGGAGGAAACCAAGGCTGAGAAAGTGCCTCTGCAAGGTTACTGAATTGGAAGGTGGTGACATCTGATTC